GCCCGCCGCTCATCTGACACATCGGACACGAAACAGTCCTCACACAAAGAGCTCTCGTCGGAGGCTTCCACTTCGACTAAAAGGGGTCGGAGGGGTAAGAAATGACAAGCCGATGGCGGGGTTCAGCCGGTACTACCGTCAACAGCAACCACCGTGCACCCATTTGGAGTCTCCCAAGATGTTCGTGTGCAGCCGNTCACCCCTTAGGACGCGCCCGCCGCTCATCTGACACATCGGACACGAAACAGTCCTCACACACAGAGCACTCGTCGGACGCTTCCACTTCGACAAAAAGGGGCTAGAGGGGTAAGAAATGACAAGCCGATGGCGGAGTTCAGCCTGTACTACCGTCAATAGCAACCACCGTGCACCCATTTGGAGTCTCCCAAGATGTTCGTGTGCAGCCGTCTTCTATTGATACTCCCCACGCTCCTCAATCACATCTAGTTTCTCGGCCCGCCTCCTCGTCGTCCGCCTCATCGTCTGCTAGAAATGGACATGATAGACCCATTTCGGCAGCACCTTTGTGGTGTGGGCGACAGGGAGGAAAGACTTCGAGTGGTCCATCCCTGCTCACCTCGTCGTCTCGGGTTACAGAAGGAACAACAACCTCGTCTTCTACTATTCGTCAAGTCTCTCCTGGTGTTGTCAGCCGAGCCTCTGCTCGGATCGCACACGAGCCTTCTTCCTCACTCGTCGGGAACCCCGTCGATCCTCCTTCTCTTTCGCAGCCTTCGTTGTCTTCGACCGTCCGCTGCCCCCGTGTGACAGCACCAAATACGAATGCGTCTTCCTCTGCTGCCCACCACGTGCTGACGGCACCACTGCCATCGGGATCGGATGGTAGTGCCCACCATTCTGTGGAAGGTTCGGCTCCTTTGTCAAGGGGGAGTAGTCAAGAGCGCTCTGCGTCAATGAACAAACTTCCGTCTGTTGCAGGAATGACTTCTCCTAACGAACGGGTCTCTACTAGCCGAATGGCCTCTGCTAACATTGACCCCGCCGGAGCCGCCGCCCTTAGGCCGCCCTCCGGATCACGGAGCGTTGCGAATTTTCCCGCTCCTGCCTCGCTTTCTGGGTCGTCCCCGTCGGAGAAGAGAGGACCCGTCCGCCTGGTCCACCCCAGCCTGTGCCTGGTGCCCGCTCTTTGTCCCTTCGCCCTGCACCGGCTCCGCTGTTTGATGACAAGTGCGAGTACGCTTCGGATGAAGTCCTTCTTTTCTGGAAACCTCCGTCTGTGTCCTCGCAATGGTCTCCTTCGGCGTTTGACGTACTGGGGGTACGTTATTCATGTGGTGAGCAATTTGTGATGTCTGAAAAAGCGAAGTTGTTTGGAGACATGACGACATATGACAAATGATGGCTGCAACAGATCCTAAGACACACAAGTTTTTGGGTCGTAACGTACGTCCTTTGGATTATGCTGAATGGGAGCGTCGTCGTGAAGAGATCGTGCTTACGGGGTCGTATGCCAAATTTGCTAAAAACCATGACATGAAACATCATCTACTGGAGACGGGTACCCGCCTCCTTGCAGAAGCCAGCCCCTTTGATCGTGTTTGGGGTATCGGCATGTCTGCATGCTTTCCAGAGGCTAGCGTTTCATCAAAGTAGGCGGCTAGCGGTAAAAACTTGTTGGGAAAAGCTTTGATGGAAGTTCGACGCCTTTTTTCGCGATCATCCCCTGTCTGGCGAAGATTTCCCCGCTTCCACTTCTCCCACGCCCCCCATTTCGCAGCCTCCTCTCCATGGACATCGACGCATCCATGAGGTTGCTACTGCTACAGGTTCTTCGCCACGGAAGGACCCGGGCGAAGACCCAGCTTGTCTCCGTTTGGACGCTCCGGGGGACCATGCTCCTGGCGTTCATCTTTTGGCATCGACCTCCGCTTGTGCAGACCAGCCTCCCCTTCTCGATCATGGGCCCGATCTGGTCGGCGGCACGCTCCTGTTGGACTCGGGCTCATTCACAACCCGGGTCCTGATGCATGGAGGACCTACAGCCACTTCTCAACTCGCGCGAGTGGCGCTTTTGGACTTTGGGTCTCCTGAATCCTTCGTGTCCGACTCCGTGGTCACCGCCATGATAGCTGCTGGAGCCCTGACAGCTGGCAGCGTTGGTGTTTTGCCCTCTCGTCGTTGGGGTGGGTTAGGTGATGGACCCGCCCTTGTGACCACCCGGTCAATTCGTCTCACCGTTGATTTTCTCCATGGAGATAGAGCTACCGCTTCCTTGGCGGTCTGGGCCTGTGTTGTTGCAGACGCCGCCATGGGGCATGCCGTGCTTCTGGGATAGCTGGATGCGCTTCAACTCTCGCGTGTTCACCACCCTTCCCCACCCTGGACCGGACGGCCGGGTTATGGGCGAGCTCACGCTCTCTCCGCGTTTTACAGCTGGCGCTTGCGTGTACGCTACACACGACGACGCTCCTACCTCCTCGTTTCACCTTACATATGCAGGGAGCTCGGGAATTTCCTTGGGGCCGGAGCCTGCACTCGTTGAAGTGGACCTCGTTCGTTCTTCTGGCATGCCTGCGCTGATTGGAGAGTATCTGGTATCGTTCAAACCCCAAGTGGGTGCGCTTTCGTCCCCAGATGCTTTCGTTTCCAATGGCTCCAGCGTATTCCCCTTGCAGGTTGTGCCGAGCTCAAGCCGGGAGACGTTATTGGAGTGTGTGCCGCGCGGCTACCACAAGTACCGGTGGAAACCCTGAAGACGGCACCATCTTCGATTCCTACCGGCCCCACAACATCTACATCACCACATCGGGTCAACGCCGTTGACCCCAAGTCCGGGACTCACTGCTCTCCGGACCCAGCCTCCGCCCCGCCTCCTCCGAAGCCGCCTCCACAAGAACTACTTAACCGCTTCTCTGAGGCACAGCGCTCCAGCTCCATGCGCTCGTGGGCTAGGCTGCCCACACATATGCACGACATCGCTTTCGATCTACACAATCCAGGATGGACACCGGAGGCTATTGATCGTTTGGCCGACGCCCTTGTGGAGTATTCTGACGTGTTCTCTACTTCGAAAACCGATTTTGATTCTTGCACCGTCATGCCGTTCTCTCTGTCCCAGCAGGGACGAAGCCCGTTGCATCACGCCCGGATCGTATCAACCCGTTGATGCAACAGAAAGTGGATGCCGGNCCGCCTCCACAAGAACTACTTAACCGCTTCTCTGAGGCACAGCGCTCCAGCTCCATGCGCTCGTGGGCTAGGCTGCCCACACATATGCACGACATCGCTTTCGATCTACACAATCCAGGATGGACACCGGAGGCTATTGATCGTTTGGCCGACGCCCTTGTGGAGTATTCTGACGTGTTCTCTACTTCGAAAACCGATTTTGATTCTTGCACCGTCATGCCGTTCTCTCTGTCCCAGCAGGGACGAAGCCCGTTGCATCACGCCCGGATCGTATCAACCCGTTGATGCAACAGAAAGTGGATGCCGGTTTGGACCAGTATTTGGCGGCAGAGCTCATTCAACATTCCACATCTCCGTGGGCTTCTCCTTTGCTTGTCATCCCCAAGAAGGACGGATCGGTTCGCATCACCGTCAACTACAAACGTCTCAACGCTCTGGTGGATCTGGATGGACAACCTCTCCCTCGGGTGGACGATATCCTGGATTTTCTTTACACCGGGAAAGTGTTCTCCATCTTCGACCTCAACTCGGCTTTCCACCAGATCGAAAGTGATGAAGACACTGTCCCGCTCACCGCCTTTTGCACTCCCACGCAGTTGTTCGAATGGCTTCGGATGCCGCAGGGCGCCAACGCAAGTCCGTCTTGGTTCGTCAAGGTCATCAACAGAGTGGTGCACGGTCTGGAGCGTGTGCTTGCTTATCTGGACGATGTCATCTGTTTCGATGAGGAACCTCTGGGACACGTGCTGAACTTGATCGAGTTCTTCAAACGACTGCGACAGTACAACCTCAAACTGTCTCCAGGGAAGGGTCGCGTCGGCGCCACGCACGCCAACTTTCTCGGTCACACCATCTCTCCGGCCGGTGTTAGCCCTGATGGCGTCAAGGTTAGGGCGCTCACGCACATGCCGCCGCCGACGAATGTTACGCAGCTTCGGAGCCTTCTCGGTGGACTCAGTTACTACCGGAAATTCCTCAAGAATCTCGCCACCAAGGTGCGACCTCTCAACTCTCTTCTCAAACAAGGCGTTCCCTTCAAGTACACCCCGGGCATGGTCGAGGTTGTCAAAACGTTGTTGAGCGAACTCGCTCGCCCCCCGATTTTGGTCTTCCCGGATTGGGAAGCAATCGAGGACAACAGCCGTCCTCTTCGTTTGTGTTCCGACGCGTGTATCGACGACTTTGGGGCCTCCTTGGAACAAGAAGAGCTCGATGGCTCGATGAGACCCATCGTGTACATCAGCCGCGCTACTCTTCATGCGGAGCGTAACTGGACCGTTGTGGATCTGGAGGCTGGTGGCATTGTTTGAGCCATCAAACGCCTTCGCGGNCGAGGTTGTCAAAACGTTGTTGAGCGAACTCGCTCGCCCCCCGATTTTGGTCTTCCCGGATTGGGAAGCAATCGAGGACAACAGCCGTCCTCTTCGTTTGTGTTCCGACGCGTGTATCGACGACTTTGGGGCCTCCTTGGAACAAGAAGAGCTCGATGGCTCGATGAGACCCATCGTGTACATCAGCCGCGCTACTCTTCATGCGGAGCGTAACTGGACCGTTGTGGATCTGGAGGCTGGTGGCATTGTTTGAGCCATCAAACGCCTTCGCGGTTTTCTGTGGTTGACCAAGTTCATCACCTGTTCGGACCACAAACCCTTGGAGAGCATTGGCAAGGTTGGGGAACACAACGCTAGGGTGCAACGATGGCTCGAATTCCTGTCCAACTTCACCTACACCCTGAAATATCGGAAAGGTTCGGCAAACGGGAACGCGGATTTTCTTTCGCGGTTGCGTTTACCAGCACAAGACACTGACAAAACCGACCCCGACTGCATTGATGGTGTCGATCAAGCGGTGTTTTCCTCATTCGGGCTTGCGGGCGCAACTATCACTCGTCGTTTACGTCGGAGGTCGGTTTGGGTGGGCTCCGCCCTCCTTGCACGGCGGGAGGCTTTTCGCCGCAAGCGTTGCAGCCCTCCGATTTTAGGATTTTCGCCGACATCACCCGCGTCGGTTGGATGCTCTGACGGACTCAACGATTGCCTGCGAGGATTCTCGGCGGTCCCCAGGGGTCTTCATCGTCTCGCCTGTTCCCGCATCTTCGGAGCCTGCTTCCCCATTGACTGCTGATGAGTCCCGCGCGATGTCTCCTGCCGCGTCTTTGGCGACTAGATATGTGCACGTTTTGTCTTCGCTTCAGGAGCGGGGACCGCTCATTTCTTCACGGATTCGGGCCAAAACTACCGCTGTTTCCGGAGGTTCCGCTTATTTCGGACGCCAGCCGCGGGCTACCATCGTCCCTCGGACATCGTCGCCTGCCCGTCGCTCTAGCAGATCCCGCTCGACCAACAAGACCACCCGGACCGCCGTGCGTCTGCTAGAGCCATCCGCAACGCCGGCATCGGCGTTTTCGTCCACTGCTCCTGCGCCACCGGTGTCTACGCCGTCAGCGGCGCGCCCTGCATCCCCAACTTCGCCTTCTCTACAGGTTTCGCCCGGGACTTCGCTACTCACGATGTCCCCTTCGCGGACATCACCACGGACTGCGGCTGCCCCAGTCGCTGAGGCTTCGCCTTCGTCAGCCTCTTCCGTTGGATCGCCTGATGTTTTTCGGAATATGCTGAGTTGGACACCTCCCACTTGCGGGCCTGTGTTCAGAGGTTCAGCACTGTGGACTGGGCTAGGGAACAACAGCGGGAAAGCGATTGTGTGGTGGCTATGCGTTTTTTGTCTCGCGGTTCTCCCTCCCCACCCCCTCCGGACTTGCTCACGCTCCGTGCTTCTCTTCGCTTCCCTCGGTTAGGTGATGTGCTTGTGTTGGCGGCGAAAACCAGACTGCACACGACCGATGACAACATCACCCTCCTTGTACATAAATCGGCGACGTCGCCGGTTTGGCGCTCTGGCGGCAGGACCACTCGTCTGCTGGATACTGGCGTGCCCCGTGTCTACGTGCCAATGCTGATGTGTCCGTGGGTCCTTCATGCATGCCATACCGCCGCGTCATTCCATCTCGGCGTCCATCGTACACAGCGTCTGCTCGAGCGCTTCTAATGGTGGATTGGTTTAGATCGTTCCGTGCGCTGGTGGCTTCGGGCGCGTTTGGTGTGTCAAGCTCNCGGCGTCCATCGTACACAGCGTCTGCTCGAGCGCTTCTACTGGTGGATTGGTTTAGATCGTTCCGTGCGCTGGTGGCTTCGGGCGTGTTTGGTGTGTCAAGCTCGCAAGACTTCACGTCAGACTGCTCGGTGGCTCGTCATCGCTATGCCATTGCCGTAGGGGCCTGGTACGGTCGTCGGCGTCGACTTCTTCGGACCTCTGCCAGTGACTGCCAAGAGAAACTCCTACATTTTGTTGTTCACAGACGGTTTCAGTCGGAGAGCCAACATGTTCGCAGTTACAGCGGCGGAATTTACGGCGAAAGGGACGACTCACATCTTCGTCAACCAATACATGACCAAGTGGGGATGTCCGACTACGTTTTTGCCGGACAACGGACTGCATTTCTGCTCGAAGCTCTCCATGGCGATCTACGAGGTGATGAAGATCAAGAAGGTCACTGCCAGCTCCTACCACCCTACCACCCAAAGACCAACAGCGGCACGGAAAGCGTCAATCACACGATGGCCCAGATGCTTGCGGTGGTCGTCAACGAACAGCAAAACGATTGGGACGTGCATCTCCCGCACGTTGAGTTTGCCTACAACAATTCCGTGAACCACTCTACTGAATTAGCGCCAAACGAGATCCACATCGGACGCATACCGCGACTCCCGCTTTTGGTCTTCGATCATCCCACGGTAGGTGGTTATCAAAGCTTGGCCCGCGATCAACTCGAGTATTGCAACCTGGCTGTCGATCGCCAGCGCCGGGCCTACGAACTTGTCCGTGAGTACAACGCCCTGAAGATTTCGCGAGTCGAACGCCGCAATTCATCCTGCTGGACGCCATTCACAAGCTCCCTCAGTTTACCGTTGGCGGGTGGGCTTGGGTGTACAACACGGCTGCAATTATTCGACAGGGTGTGCAGAAGGACACGGACCAACAGGTGCTCAAGGCCAAATTCGCACTTTCCTGGACGGGGCCCTGCAAAGTTCTTGCGGTGGGTCCCACCTCCGCCGACGCCGCTCCGGACGGCCGCCCGTTGGCGCGTAAACTCCTCTACCTGGACTTGCCTTCCGATCTTTCCGGCCCAGCAGCTCGATGTCGCGTGTCTGTCCTTCGTTACAAGCCCTGTGGTAATCCGTACGAGACGGACGACTTGCAGCAATCTCTACCCGCCGAGCTTTCGCGTTATGTTCTGCACTCTCTCGGAGATACATGTCCACCTTTCCACGTCACCGCGGATGATGTGTCGTTGCCTGTCGGGCGCCTCGAGGTCGACCAAATCTCGGGACATGAACTGGTGCGGGGCCGTAGCGGCGTTCTCCCCGTCCTGTACCAGACGCAGTGGTTAGGCCTTCCTACTCCTTCATGGGAACGGGAATCCGACCTTGATCAATTTCGTCGACACATCCTCTTGTACTGGTCCCGGGAGGTCTGCCAAAGCAAGCAAGGTAACCGTATATATCGAGTGGCTCGGACTCGCGCGGCACAGCGGGAGCTAGCCCGAAATTGTGGAGAACGCTATTTGCCTCCTGGGGCTGATCTTGTGCTTCACGCGACTTGGCTACGTCGTTTCAACACTTCGCCCCTCCCTGTTGGCGCGCGGCTGTGGTACAAGGCCCGTGATGGATTGTGGGGGACCGGACGTATTGGTCCTCATCAGGGCGGCTCGTACATCGTTCGATTTTTGGGTGACCCGGGCCCAAGCGTTCTCCCTCTGCCTGCGCACCTCTACCCCACCGCCTTGGACGCCGTCTGTGGATCATGGTGTTTAGAGAATCATCGTTCGCGCCCTCTGGGCGACAATCATGGTCGCACTCGGCTCCTTACTGACTCCTTACCGTCGGCTGTTTCCATAATTTCTTCTTAGCGTCGTCGTTTTCATATACCAATCGGCCTATTTTGATCTTTTGTGCCATCCTTGTCGCCGACGTTTTGATTTTTTTTTGTCACTTTCCTTTTTGTTTTGTATTGTTTTGTTTTCTGTCCTGTCCCTTTTCTTTTGTTGGCTTATTTTTTGTTTTGGACGCTGGGGCAACGCCGCCTCAAGAAACGCAGTGTCAAGTGATCTTTCTTCCTTGTTGCCTGCATTCGTCTGAATCAGTGAACTGCCGCGACCTGGATGTCCGTTCTCTCTCGCTGTTGCTCAATATTTTGTTCTTGTTCGTCTTTGGTTCTCTCGACAGGCTCCCCCCGAAGTTTCGTCGCTGTTGTTTGCCTCTGAACACTTGGGAAAAGAAGTTCCCAAGTTCGTCGGTGTTGTTTGCTTCGGGACACTTGGACACCGAGTTCCCCGCATTTTCCTGGTTCGCCTGTTTGCCAACCAATGTTAATCTATTTTTTTATTCGAGCGAAGCGAGATTTCTAATCTTGCCTGAGAGGGCTCAGCGCAATATAGGGGCCGATGCAGGAAAAAAAGTGCGTGCGTGTGTTGTGTTCGCTTAAACTAGG